GACATGATCTTGGGCATGTCGTGGCTGCGAAGCAAGGATCACCCGGTGAACTTCTTCAACCGCACCGTTCATGTTCGTGACCAGAACAGAGTATTAGTTCCATGCACGGTGCCTCTGCCTCATCCTTCGATCAGCTGCCACGTGGTATCCGCCGCAAGCATGCGAGCTTCCATCATCAGAGACGACATCGAGGAGATGGGGGTGTGTTTTCTCCACGCCCTCCCACCACATGACGCTTCATCAACGGACTCACCTTCGGATCCACGCATCACCGAACTTCTCGACGCCTACAGCGACGTGTTCGAAGACCCGCATGGAGTAGTACCGGACCGACCCATCCGCCACGAGATCATCCTCGAGGACGGGGCCGCACCTCCGCGCGGTTGCATCTACCGAATGAGCGAGGAAGAGTTAAGTGTGCTTCGGGCACAACTCGACGACCTTCTAGAGAAAGGCTGGATTCTGCCTAGCTCATCGCCATACGGTGCTCCTGTTCTCTTCGTCCGGAAGAAGAACAAGGACCTGCGGTTGTGCATCGATTATCGCAAGCTCAACGCGCAGACGATCAGGAACGCCGGCCCTCCCCCACGCATCGACGACCTTCTCGAGCGATTCGGCGGCGCCCAGTTCTTCTCTAAGTTGGATCTCAAGTCAGGGTACCACCAACTCGAGATTCGCAAGGAGGATCGCTACAAGACCGCGTTCAACACTCGGTATGGGCATTTCGAATGGCTGGTCATGCCATTTGGCCTTACGAATGCCCGAGCCACTTTCCAAGCGGCTATGACGACGGAGTTCCGACACATGCTGGATCGTTTCGTACTTATATACCTCGACGACATTCTGGTTTACAGCCGGAGTCTGGACGAGCATGTGGAACACCTGCGCACCGTTTTGGAGCGGCTACGACAGGCCAAGTACAAAGCAAACCGTGACAAGTGCGAGTTCGCACAGCAGGAGCTGGAGTTCTTGGGACACTATGTGACGCCGCAAGGCATCCGTCCGCTTGCGGACAAGATCGAGGCCCTACGAGTATGGCCCGAGCCCACCAACACCACGGACGTTCGTTCATTCATGGGGTTGGCGGGCTACTATCAGCGATTCATCGCCGGATACTCCAGGATTGTTGCACCTATGACGAGGTTACAGTCGCCARAGGTGCCATTCGYATTCGATGACGACGCACGCSGGTCATTMCAAGCACTTAAGACGGCTATGCTCATGGCACCCGTCCTTAGCATTTATGACCCCACCCTGCCGACACGAGTGATTACGGACGCTTCCGGCTATGGCATTGGGGCAGTYTTGGAACAGCACGACGRCGAYGACTGGCACCCTGTGGAGWATTTCAGCCACAAAGTGCCTCCCATCAACTCGCTTGATGATGCAAGGAAGAAGGAGCTGCTCGCATTCGTGATGGCTCTCAAACGYTGGCGGCAYTTCCTCCTTGGGCGTCGTAGGTTCACATGGATCACAGACAACAATCCAYTGACCTACTACAAGACGCAGGACACGGTGAGCAGCACGATCGGACGATGGATGTACTTCATCGACCAATTTGACTTCACACCAAAGCATGTCCCCGACCTCTCCAATCGCGCAGCAGATGCACTCTCGCGAAGACCTGATCTTTGCGCTATGACACATCATGCATTCGCATTCGACGAGGAGCTTCAACGACACTTATCCGGGCATATCAGTCTTATCCGGACTTCAGCACGCTCTATGCACAGCTATTTTCGGATCACCTGCCGGCCAGCCATTACCGCATTGTCGACGGGTACTTGCTCCTCCACTCGAGAGGCAAGGACTTACTATGTGTCCCACACGACCGTCATCTTCGGACTCGCCTCCTCGGCGAGTACCATGATTCACGATTCGCCGGCCATTTCGGAGTCAACCRCACTATTGCACGACTTCGACAGTGATTCCGATGGCCCGACCTCATTACCGATGACACTTGGTATTGCGACTCTTGCGAAGTTTGCCGACGCAGCAAGCCCCGCAACCGCAATCCCTACGGCGAGTTACACCCGATGCCTATCCCACGGGAACCCGGTCTCTCCATTGCCATGGACGTCACCGGTCCGTTTCCTCGCGATCGGCTCGGGCACGACGGCATCCTCACGGTTGTGGACCGATTGAGTAAGTACGTGCGTTTTCTCCCTTGCAAGTACTACTCCACGGCTCCCGAGCTGGCACGCCTCCTGCACACAGGTTGGATTTGTGGCCACGGTGTACCAAAAGACATTGTCAGCGACCGCGACACTCGTTTCATGTCGGCGTTTTGGACTGCTCTCATGCAGGAGTCCGGCACAATAATGAAACCAAGTTCGGCTCGACACCCTCAGACAGACGGGCAGACGGAGCGGGCACATCAGACCGCTGAAATGATGCTTCGTACGCTCATCAGTCCGGACCAGAAAGATTGGGTTGACCGCCTCCCCGACATCGAGTTCGCCTACAACACTTCGGTGCATCCGGCGATCGGCGTGACTCCATTCGAGTTGCACCACGGTGGACGGAAAGGCCGGATCTTCGCCGACCTTCTCCTCCCTCGACCAGCCGACATTGACGCTGCTTGCTCCCCCTCTTCCGTCTGAAAGTACAGGGAATTGCTGACTCGAGCCCGCGCAAATATGCAAAAGGCTCAAGTCTGCATGCAGCAGCATGCCAACAGGCGTCGCATACCATGTCCCATCCGCGCCGGTGATCTGGTTTGGGTCTCCGCGGAAGAGTTTGCACTGGAACAGGATGTTTCACGCAAACTGCTTCCCAAGTGGTTTTAACCTTGGTCTGTGACAGCAGCCGCGGGCGATGAGCCCGATGGCCCTTCATTTGTGATCAACATTCCAGAGCATCTGACGGTCCATCCGGTCTTCCACGCCTCGAAGCTGGCAACTTACACGGCAGCCAAGAGCGACGACTTTCCGGACCGACGATCGCAGGACCCTCCTTCTATGGATGGCCATCAGGAAGTTGACCACGTCATCTCCGATTGCAAGTACGGCAGCAAGCAGCGGCAGTATAAAGTCACATTCAAAGCATGCGATCGCGACGACACTCGGTGGATATCASGCGCAGATTTGAAAGCATCCGCACCGCTGATCTACGCGCATTATGAAAAGCGCAGATTAGCTCAGGAAGCTTCACGACCTGCCCCTCCCACCCGGACTGTGGTCCCTCCCTCAGACAGACAGCTTCGCCCTCGTATGTAAGCTCGGTCTTTCAAGGAGGGGGGGGTGTGGCATACTGTGCAGCCACACGGGCCCTGCAGGGCCCGTCCCGGACCTCCAGCCTGTTTCCCTACAGGGAAACTTCCAGGCTCTTGCCTGGAANCCTGTTTCCCTACAGGGAAACTTCCAGGCTCTTGCCTGGAAGCTTCCTTCTGACAGGGCCTACAGGCCCCAGCCTGTTTCCCTACAGGGAAACTTCCAGGCCCTTGCCTGGAAGCTTCCTTCTGACAGGGCCTACAGGCCCCAGCCTGTTTCCCTACAGGGAAACTTCAGGGAACTTCCAGGCTCTTGCCTGGAAGCTTCCGCAGGGTCTAGGCCAGGGAGGCATTGGCACGGCCAGCCTCCTGTACGGGCCAGCACTACGGGCCAGCACTATAAAGGACTGGCCCGCCCTACAGGAAAGGGGAGTAGGCAGAGGTAGTCTTCAGGATTCGGCCGCAACACTCGGGAGGAGCGCTGCAGTAGTCTTCAGCGCTAGGCAGTAGTGGTAGCGCTAGCTGTAGCCTTCGGCGCTGGGCGCCATAGCTGTAGTTGTAGTCTTCAGCGCTGGGCGCTGGTAGGTCGTAGATCTCAGAGTGGGGAGAGAGACTGGCGGAGGCCAGTGTTACTTACCTGTGGCGCCATCGCTCCAGCTCCATCTTCGCGGTACCTGCATCAAGGCGCCAACTTCACAGGTTAGTACTGGACACAGAGAGAGAGAGAGTTCTTCTTCTTCCTCTTCTAAGTCCACCTTCTCTTCTCACCCTCTCGCCACCTGACTTGTCCGACTACGACAGAGAGAGACAGAGTTGTGACTGGAGACTTGACGACATTGGATCCAGACTTGACATTTGGGATTCAGACAGTTCGACGAGGGACTATTTGGGCTTGTGCCGAAGACTTGGTGTTGACGACATTCCCATCTTCCCCCTCCTCTTCGTCTATCCCCTTCCTCCTCGTCTGTGCATGTTCTGGGCTGGCGCTGTCTTCCTGTGTGAAGCGCCAGACCCATTCACACTATGAAACGATGATGATGATGTATGTTCAGGGCTGCATTACAACATTGATTGTTCGGATCACTAGTATCTAAGTCTTCCGCTGTGCTATCTTATACTTGTATTGAAAGGTCGGTTCTTGTTCTGGTCTGCACCTATACGGTATGCAACAAAGCATCTCCTTCAGAAAAAAATTGGCACTCCTTCAATTCAACTACATTCACTGTTTACACACTCAACTCTGGATCTGCCTGGATATCTCACACACACTCACACTGTACTTCGCTCACCCTCACTTACACCCTGAAACACTATCTCTAACCTATGGTGGCTATGGCCGCTCTCTACTAAAACTGGACGCTATCTCCTTCCTTCAGCCCAGTTCGTCTTCGGACATCCGCTGACCACCTCGCACAAGGCGCCTGGGCAGCGCTTCCGCATGGCTCACGCAGGAATGAATGAATGGCTGTACGCTGCCTCTTAATTTATACTTCTGTAGGTCGCTGGTCTGCTCCTTTTTCCACCGGGCCCTTGGTGCACACAGTCCTGCATGGTACTTGCTGAGTGGACTAAGTGAGACGGGGACTGGGTACCGCTGACTAAGCAAGGTTGGACTCACCACTTGCCCACTTGCCTCTGGTCTGCTGTGAATAACGTTCGAAAGGCCACTTCCGGACCTTTCAGAAATCTGCAGACTTGGCCTTTTGGAACTGTAGCAGCTACGACCTTGACCTTTCAACATTGCTACAGCTACGACCTCTACACAACTATGAACCCTACTCGACAGACCTATGGTTCAAGACCGGACAACTACATCAACCTATGACAGACAACAACTGACTCCTAAAACAAACACACAGGGGTACTGTACACGGGTGAGGTGAGGTCTAGGGATCGAGCCCTGGGATCTGCATCTGCTACTGCAAAGGTGAAACCCGTTTCACTCCCGCCGGACTAAATTCGAGGTCCTCCGAGAATACTAGTCCAAGGCAGGACATTTCCCTTTCTTATCTCTCATATAGGCTCAAACTATATCGGGAGCGGTCTTTAGAAGTTTTGTCCGTGTAAACCAGTGGTCGTCTTCTGGTTCTTGAAAAGAGAATCTGATTTCATACTGTTTTTGTGGATGACCTCTACCTCCTGTTCTGAACATATCCTCATCAACTATGCGATCAATGCAGTACCTTCCGTCCATGTCTGGAGGATTCATTGACCTTCTCGACAGAAACTGCTGACTCATCGTGCAAGGTAACAACTTTGATGCGTGAAAAACTGGATATGTATGGACGTGTGCTGGAATCTCAATTGTGTAAGACGGTCCATCCTCTCCGCCCTTGACTTCTAGGACTGGCCATGGTCCTCTATATGCAAGCAATAGCCTCAGTGAGATGTTCTCCTCAAGAGAAAACTCTTTTGACTTCACCCAGACTAAGTCGCCTACTTGAAACTATGATGGGCGACAGTGTTTGCTGAGTTATTCTATCTTGTGCTGGGCCTTTCTGAGGTCTCTACAACGGTCTCATGTTGTAGTGCAAACTCCCTCGTACCGGGCGGTAGCCTCTGGATCTGATCCCAGTTCAGTCCTTCAAACGGTCTGATCCCCTCGTTGGGAGTGCGGCAGGTGGCTAAGTGTACACTGTTGTTCTACGCGCTGGCTACCTTTGGGAGCATCTCATCCCAATTGACCTGATCGGGTCGAATATACATTCGGAGAACTTGTTGCAAGATTTTGTTCATCTGCTCAGTCTGACCGTTAGTCTCTGGATAATGGCTAGATGACATCAACAACTTAGATTCATAAACTCTCATTAACTGCTGCCAGTTCTGACTAGTGAACCTGGTGTCTCTGTCACTAACTATAGACAGCGGCAGACCATGTTCATTGACCCAATAATCGAAAAACTTCTTGATCACTAGGTCTGTACTTGCGACAGTGGTGACAACAAAAGGTAATGATGGATCAAATACCTTGAAGATTGGGTACTCTATCAAGGCCTGCTTCAACTTCTTCAGGGTCGACGTACAATTTTTATCCCACTCCCAGATTGTTTCTTTCTTTAAAAACCTACGGAGGGGTGCAACAATAGTGGAGAAGGTTTTCACGAACTTCCTATAGTAGCTGGCTAGGCCTAGGAAGGACCGCAACTTTGTCAATGTGCGGGGCGTTGGCCAATCTCTAATCGCTGCTATTTTACTGTCCTTGGGTTTGATGCCATCTCCATCTAAGCCGTGGCCCAAGAAGAAAACTTGCGTTTTTGCCCACTCGCACTTCTTCGCGTTGATCTTGAAGTTAGCTTCCCTCAGCTTCTCCAAGACCTGCCTCAGATGGCTCTCATGCTCCTGGAGGGTCTTACGAAAGACTAGAATATCGTCTAAGTACACCTCTACAAATCTATTTAACCAAGGCCTAAACAAATCATTCATACAACGCTGGAATGTAGTTGGCGCATTAGTTAGTCCAAAGGGCATTACTATAAACGCGTAGTGCCCATATCTAGTCCTGAACGTCGTCTTGTACTGATCATCAGGGTGGACCTCTATCTGACGATAGCCTGACTTGAGATCGATCTTCGAGAAGTACTTGCAGCCCTGCAACCGATCCAACAGATCATCTATTCGGGGCAGTGGTTCTGCATTCTTCACGGTGACGACGTTGAGACCTCTATAGTCTATGCACATGCGAAGCTCTCCCTCCTTTTTGGGGACAAAAAGAACAGGTGCTCCAAATGGGGATGAACTGGGCCTAATCCAACCCTTATCGAGGAGCTCATCTAATTGCTTGCACAACTCCTCTAGCTCCCTTGGGGACATTCTGTAGATGGCTCCCTTAGGAGTTTTTCTGTCAGATTATCCCAATGCGATGCTGGATTGGCCG